GAGCAGAAACCGGAGGGGTTGAGAGGAAGGCACTTCAGCCCAGGACCACGGTGGGGATGGGCGGGCTCAGCCTGCCTGTCTCTGGCTCCCGAAGGGTCGAGAAAACCGCATCCTCTCTCCCGGGGGCGGGCGACCCGTTGGACAGCAGCACCTGTCACCCCTTCTCTGGCTCAGCACCCCGGCTTCCTCTGCTGTCTGGCCCGGCCGGGATCCCAGGTGAAGTTGGAAGCTGCTGCCTGCAATTCCGATTCAGAAGAGACCTGAGAGCTGGGCAGAGCCTGGGGTCGGGTGTGGGGTCTCTGCAGTCAGGACAGAGGACAGAGCCTGGGTTGGGGGGGCGGGGAGTGAGGTCTGTGGCCAGATGGGCCACGGAGGTGTGTATGTGTAAGGCTCAGGGTGGGGGGCTTTGCAGCCAAGAGGGGAGGACGGGGCCTGCGGTGGGCTCCTTGGCCAGCTCCAGGCACTACAGCAGTGAAGCTAGAGGCCACACTTCCCCCTGGAGCCCGGGCATCTGGACAGCTTGGGGCGGCTTGCTCCACTGGAGGGGGTCCTGGAGGATAGAGAGGGAGACCCCTGCACCCCAAGTCTCAGTACTAGAACCTCCCTGTCGCCGCGGCCCCAGAACCTTCGGCTGAGCAACCAACCTCCTGGTGAAGGCGGGGACGCGCCCTGCCTCCGAGCCCACCCCTCCTGGCGCAGAGCCGGCCTGGCGGAGAGGAGGCGGCAGGTGTACCGTGAAAAGAGAGAGGAAGCGACCCTGGAAGAGGCTCTGAGGTCGGCTGCTTTCACCCAGGTAACCCGCGGAGGCCCCGGTCGGACGCAGGAAGATGGCCCGCCTCCAGCTGGAGTGGGGGCCCGGGTTGGGGCGCCGCCGCCTGCCCCCGGGAAGGCGTCCCAGCTGCGCACCGCGCCCAGGGTCCGGCACGGACCCGCCTCCCCGCTTCTGGCCCACCCCAGCCAGGCGCTCGCCTCACCCTCCCGCTGTCCCCCAAACTCTCGCGGGGCGGCCCCACTCCCCGCCCCACCCTGCTCCCCTCCGTGGGGCCCGAGCCCGGCCACCCCGGATCCCAGCGTTGGCCCGAGCGTCTCCGCAGAGAGGCCAGCGCCCGGCCGCCCCCAGCCGGGAGGCCCGTCCTCGCGCCCATCCGTCGACCCGCGTCCGGGGTCGCGGAGGGCCAGGTGGGACCGCACGGGCGACAACCCGCCCCGCGGAGCCGTGGGGCCCTGGGGCCAGCGCCGACCCGCCTTGTAAGGCAGGGTCCGCGCTCTGACGGCCTCAGCGCGCCCGGCAGCCCGGGCGGGAGGGGGCGGGGCGGAGCCGCCCAGAGAGCGCGGGGCGGGCCTGGGGGGGCGGGCCCGAGAGGGGGCCAGTGGGGGCTGGGGGGCGGGTCCCGGGACGGGTACTCCAATGGGAGCGCGGGGAGGGCAGGGCGTGGGGCGGACCGGGCGCGGAAACTGGGAGCCAGGGGGCGCGCCGGCGGGTCTGGGGGCGGGCCTGAGGCCGGGGGCGGAGCCGGCGGGCTGGGAGCTGCGGAGCGAGCGCAGGCCGGGTACCGGGTCGCTCGCGCGCGAGTCGCGGAGGCGCCGCCGCTGCAGTCGCCGCATCTCCGAGGTAAGGGGCCGCGGGGCTCCGTCCCGGGGCGCGGCGCGCAGGCCCCCCTGCTCCTCCTGCCACCTGCGCCCGCAGGCCGGGGCGCGCCACCCATTCCCGGCGCCCGCCCGCGCCCCTTCCCCGAGGCCCAGTGCGTCCGTGCGCCCCGCGCCCCGGAGCTGCCGGCTATCCGCGCGGCGCTCGGGCCCCCGTGTCTGCGTCCGGGCGCGGGTTTGGGGACGCGGGGGCGCGGGCTGGAGCGACCGGAGATGCAAAGGACAGGTTTATAATTGGGCCCTAAATGAGGCGCTTTGGCCTTTCTTCGCGTCGGTGCGTAACGCTACAGAGGACGCCCCTCGCAGCCCCTTCCCTCTCCGTGTCCTGCTACATAAACACCGTTCACATGCCCAGGCCTGGGGTGGCGGCTGCCAGCGAGACAGCGGGACATTAGGGCTTAGAGGGTTTGAAATGAAGCCACTGTCATACAGCACGAATTTTCGGAGACCCAGGGCCACAGAAAGGGCCGTTTGTGTCCACGGGCCGAGAATGTACGTGATTCCCTGGCGAGAGAACTCGGCCGCCCCTCTCGGTCCGGCATTAACGTCGCCATATCGGTGCAGGTGAGAGGGTCAGGCCTACAGTTTGCAAATCCAGAAGCATCCCCGGAGGGGTGTTCTGTTTTCTTATCGCATGTGGGCACATAACCCGGCAATCAAGATAAAGAGGTTGGCTGCCAGTGTATTTTTTCCACACGCCCCTGGGGACCAGTGCCCCGCCCTTGAAGGAGGATCCAGAGAAACCCTTTATTCTGCGGTTTCAGTTATGTAAATGAAGCCTTGAAATGAGGTGGGAAGAAAACCTTCTTTGTGACTGCTGTTTTGATAGGCGTTTTGTGCTCTCTGATGATGGGACACCTTTTAGGCTAAGCTGGCTATGCTGTCATCCGTCTGTGTATTTACTGGCTAATTCATCTGACGTTTATAAACGATAAAAGACCTAGCTCCCATGGCCCCCCCCCCACCTCCCAGGACTCCCCATGGCCAGTCTCTCAGGGAGGGTGTGCTGGGGGCGGGGGTCCTCCCCAGGGCCTGGGCCAGCCCCTGCCGCCTAGGAGGTGATCCGTAAACCCCGACCCGAGCTCCAAGTGCACTAGGACCACATCCGGGATGGAGCGATGGGGCTGGGGAGGGAGAGCTTGGAGCGGGCAGGAAAGGGGGGGAGGGGCGGGGCCTTGGGACAGGCGCCTTGCGAGTGCCTTAAACTGGACTCCGTGATGCCTTCTCTGGCACCAGCCCCTGTTCCCACCACATGGTTGGAATCCCAGGGCTCAGTGATGAGCGATGGGGGAAGGGGGTGCTGGTGAATTTCCTGGGGGCATCTGCAAAATGCGTGCCACGCAAGGGTACGTGTGTTTTCCTGGGGAAAGGGCCTTCACGATTTCCAGAAGGATCTGTGACTCAGAAAGGTACCCTAATTTATGTACTACATTAAAAAATTCCTCTCCATCTTTTTGGAATGACGAAGTGGTGGAGATTAGAGGAATTGGCCGAATTCTTATCTCCTCGGCGTTGTTTGGCTGAATTTCGTGAACCCTCGGAAGTTGCAATAAATAAGCTGTTTTTTAACTGTATACAAGGTTATAGATGCTCATTGTGGGCAATGTGCAAATCACAGGAGAATTTCGTAAACAAAATTAAAATCACTCGTCACTGATTGACGATTAAGAGAAACCTTGGAGCAGCCAAACTGTCCTCTGGGGCTGCGTCCTCGTGGCTTCCCTCCCTGGTGGGCAGTGGAGCCGCTCCCTGCAGAAGATGAGAATTAGAAGCTTCCTCAGGGAGAGGCTTGCTGGCCTAGCGCCAGGGCTATTTATAGCTGGTGATGTTGCTGTGAGGCCAGAGGAGCACGTACAGGAGACGCCATCTGGGGCCACTGGGGCCATGAGGCACAGCCCACACTGCACCTTGAAGTATTAAGGCCTCCCTGGGTCGGGAGGTCCGTGCCCTGGGCCCAGCCTGGCACCATCTGGAAACCACCCCAGACCGACGGTGCTGGGCACTGTGCAGAGGCCACCTGAGCCCAAAACCCTGGACCAGGCAGATGCTGGGATTGGGCAGGAGAATCGACACAGTAGGTGTTTCCCGGGAAGGAAGGTGGGGAGCTGCCTGGGGGGGGGGGAGCCCACGGCCATCTGGGGCTCCGACGC